TATATAATAGAAAAAAAGTTACAATTTTTCCTCACATATATTTTACTTTTTGTGACTGGTCTTTAGCCTTCAAAATAGATTGATAAAAAATGTGACAAAAAGCAACAAAATAGATAAAAATTTCATTAGCATAAAATGCCTTCTGCTAAATGTGACCACAGCAAATGATACTGAGAGGTATTGTAAAATATATTTATACATCATAAGATATATCTTATGATATACAGATATCATAAGATATGAGTTTAATAAATCCATTGAATATTTAGAGACATCATAAGACATGTATGTAAAAAATTCACTCAAGTGAATTATCTCAAAGTTATGTAGGGGTCAGATGCTAGGCTTGGAAGTCAAGGGGAGTAGCACTTAGAAAAACTTTAGAAACCAAGCAAATGAAAAGCAAAACAATCTTAAACTGCGATTGAACAATTATAAGATTATGGTTAAAAGTTTACAATACTTTGCTCTGTAAATGACATACAAGTTAAACTTATGACCTTCGTTTTTACTAATACAAATGAAAATGAAAATTTGTTGAAACATTTAGACTAGAATCGGCACCTTTATTTTGATCATTTGATATCAGCCACTGGGCTCTCCACACTTCCTCAAGTAATCCAAGTGAATAAAATTCATCAGCTATTGTAAATATATTTGAAAAAAAAAAACAAAAAAAAACACAACTGAAGATTACCAAAACTAACATGTCACTTAGAAAAAAAAAATCTATCAGATAGAATGTAATGATCAAAACAACAATGGTAAGGATACTAGTCAAAATAATTCAGAATAATATAGATACTTCATCTCAGAACTTCACACCACATTATTATTTTTTTAGACACAGTCTCCAAAAAAAGACTGATATATTTTGGAACACTAACCAATTTTCTCATAGAGAACATTTTTTTTATACTTTAAATGGAAAGTAGAAAATTTGTAAAAAAAGAAAATTGTTTAGAATGACCAGTGTAAATTTTATTTCACTATGTGTAAGTGGCTAAAACTTTACTATAAAATTACATTGTTATACAAGAAATAAAATGACTTTTGTTTGATTTATAGATGAAAAAGTTTTACTCCTATATTCTTTCTAACGTTTTTTTTTTAACATATTGTTAAAGAAAAGGTAAAAGGTTTGGTTTTTGCTTATCAAAACAAAAAAAAAGAAAGAAAAAAGATCAAATTAAAAAACAAAACTAAAAAAAAAAACTATAAAAAAAAAGAAAGTGTGCATCTCACCCATTACTATTTTGTTCCGTGAATTCAGTCAAAATTAGGGACCGAAAATCAAAAATGAGTGCTGATTCCGAAGTAGGAAAAATTCTTTCTAATGTAAATTTCTTAGAATTGTTTCTTTTTGTCCTAACCCCCCTGAGTCAATATACACTGCAAGCACAAAAGCAAACTGTGAAATCAGAAACAAAGAAGTATTTTCTCGGGAGACTTTATTCTTGTGTCCCACATCTTGGAAGCTTTTCAGGAGTGTTTCCTTAACTACTTTGCATACAGGAGCATGGTGATTAAGCACAGACAATAATTTTGGAACTTTTTCTTTGCTATACTGTCTTACATGGACGACATCATCATATTTACTTCAATCACAGGAGCTTTGTGCTTAAGCTGGTCACAAATTTGTTGCCATTCTGTCACTCCTTCCTCTGCTTGTCTAAATACTCTTCCATTATTATAATCACTTTGAGTGCAGAATCCTGGTGATTAAACAGGTAAGAAATTATTCTGTTACCCCCCTGCACTACAATTTTCAATTACTCCTTGCACTAAAATTTATTTGCTTATTTTAGCGACTGAAGAGTGTGTCAATCTGAAGTGTTCTGAGAAAAAGCAACAATAATAAGATGGAATAAAATTAGTAATAAAATAATCATAATAAGTTTTTTTTGTGGGGGTGCTTTTAAAACATGTAATGTATATAATGTTTATATACATATATTATATATGTTCCAAAGGTTGTTATAGCCAGCCAGGGGTGATAATGTCTATAAAATGTTTCCATGGCATGTGTCTGAAATAGTCTCTGAAAACTAAAACCAGTTCCAAGCCAGATAATGGACAAATCATAACCAGATTCTTTGGGTAGATGGAGCTAGACAACTGAGGAAGCAGACCATCTCTAGGAGAAGGAAAACTCTGATTTTAAACCTTGTCTGCTTTGCAGTCATATCCAAAACACAGAAAAGGCTATGAAAATAAATCCAGAGGGAAAACCCAGAGTGGAGCCCCAAAGGTAGTTGGCTATCAACACTAACAACTTTCCTGGCAACTCCTGCAGCCAAGCTGTTTCTAAATGTAATGCCCCTTGTATTCCTTTTAATATATCAGTATGGCCAAGAGTAGGGGAACAGTGGTATATAGTCAGGGCTATGCACAGGTACTATCGTCCAAGACTGCAGCCTGGAGAGGTCATTCCAATTTCACCACCAAAGGACTGAATTTTGACCAAACAGGGCGATAAGCTTTATCCTGCGAGATAAACAGGGTCCTACTAATAATGAAGAGTGTATAGCACCAAAGAGTTGGGATAAAATGCAACAATAAATAAAATTAATAATAGAATAAAAAGAGTAAATGGAAGAAGTAAAACATAGACTTATGTATTTAATCAAAAAATTAAAAATTTATTTTTTTACCCCACTGTCAGAATTTTGTTTTCCTAAAATAACAATACTAAAAGTAACAATAATATTTGTGGCCATGTGTTGGCAGTTGTGGTTTTGTAGGTTAGTGTTGCAGCTTAATTGAGTCCACTTGAGAATTCAGCAGAAAATTCCTGGGAGAATTTAATTTCTATTTTTAGAATCTGACTGGCAGACCAAAACCTTTTCTTCTTCATTCAAACTTGAGAATTTCATGTATAAGTTTGTAAGCCTAGAAAAATCAGTCACTAATATTTTTGTATGAAAATGGAGATCTGATGAATTAGGACCAAAATCCAGGTCCTAAGGAAATAAATTATAATTCCATGAACTCTTAAAGTTGTCTGTATCTTAATATAATAGAACAGAATATAACATACACATATATATATATATATATATATATATATATATATAGATAGATAGATATATATATAGTTTATGAAAAACTAGGTAATCCGTATGGGTAAACCCAAGGAGGATAAAATCCAGAGAGCTCAATGTAAATCCAGAGCAAATAATTAAAATAACAACAGACCACTTTAAAGTTCCATGTAATAAATTATTTCACCACAGCCCTTTTAAAAGGACTGCTGATCATCAGACTTTACTTCCAACCCTTTAGAAGTAAAGTCTGATGATCTGCAGTCCTTAAAAGGGCTGTGGTGAAATAATTTATTACATGGAACTTTAAAGTGGTCTGTTTTTATTTTAATTATATATATATATATATATATATATATATATATATATATATAAATAAAATAGAGATAACTAGACTTTTTTAAAAACCCTCGAATTTTTGATTTGCTAATCAAATCAATCTCGAGGAAAAAGGTTTTAAAAAAAGAAAGAGCTACAAACATGAACTTCTGCCGAAAAAAATCGCACAGATGCAGGTCTGAAGCCCAAAGAAAAACCCCGATACGAGTAACAACTAACTAACAAAAGAGCTCAATACAACCGTACAACCGTAGAGAAGACCTAGATACACCTAGTAGGCCAGACAAACCTACCCTAGGTTTTCACCTAAACGGATCGTCAGGAAAAGTTTGGCCAAACTTTCCCTGACGATCCGTTTAGGTGAAACCTAGGTAGGTTTGTCTGGCACACTAGGTGTATCTATATATATATATATGTATGTATGTATATATTACACACACATACACACACAGGGTATCACCCAAAAAAATGTACATAATTTTTTACTTTGTTGTCAGTTTGAATATTAATAAACATGCATTTAATTTCATTTAATATTTAATTTAATCTTTGTAAGTCAATAAACATTAATATTAATTTTAACGATTAATCTTGTTTACAAGTCAATAAAAACTGTGTTTATTGACATTTAAACAATGGGTCCATTTTTTTGGACAACCCTGCTACTTCATGAAACTCTGAGTAGCAGATTTTATATTATTATTATTATTATATAATATATATAATTATATGTTAATTTTGGCATTGAGCTCACAGTTTATTTTATATTTTATACTTTTAGCTTATTTTAAACTTTAGCTTTTATTCTTACTATTTATATATATATATATATATATATATATATATATATATATGTATGTGTATGTGTGTGTGTATATATATATATATATATATATATATATGAATATATATGAATCTATTTGCATGATATATAATCAATAAAAACCTGTAGAGTCTGAAATTTTGAGATGAAATGTTTTCATTATTCCATATATTTCTCACCTGTTCATCTTTGTCCTCATTTCAGCAAATATATTCTCTGGCCTTCCTCAGATAAATCCTGTATCTAAGGTCTTTAGAAATCTCTTAGCAATATTTTTTTTACACAGTCCTGTGATTCTGTTAAAATGTGAGGTCCCAATTGAGCTTGATAATAAAGAAAAGATAAACATCAAACATCTTTTACAAGCCACATAAACACAAGCCTGTTCGTCAAAACATTATCAAATCATGAAAATATGTTTTCTTGGAACTTGGAAAATGCAAAAAGGCCAAAAAATATATTGGCTGAAATGTGTTAAAAGAAAAATGGACTTATTGAATAATTTATATTTTCACGTATCATGTGTTAAAAATAAAGAAGGTATTTTCCAATTACTTTTAAATGCATTAACAGTTTTTATATATCAAAGCACGAAAAGGCTGGATAAAAAATATACATACTTCTCTAGTAAAAAGAATTATTGAAACAAAATTAAACACAAGATTTTGGTTTTGAATCAATACAAAAAAAAAATGAAGACAATTTGGTACTGATACATTTTTCTGGCTGGAAAACAGAAGCCACTAAGTTACAGTGGAAATGGCAAAAGAAACAAACAGATTATAGAAAAGTTATCACATAAAGGTAGTGTCATCAAGGGAAGGTTTGTTTCGAGATCGACTTTCAAATAATTCACGGATAAGTGCTGTCTTCTCTTGTTCCAGTTGAGTGATTTTATCACATTTTGTAGAGATTTCCTGCAAAAGAAATTTGTTTCCGTTAACATCTTGCCAATAAAATCAAAAAACCAGTCTTGGTTAAAACTAACTATAATTTTCCTAACTCAAGAAAAGACTAAAATGCTCAAAAATTAATGACAGCCTGTCTAGAAGAAACCAAAGCCAAATGGCAACAATTGAAAGAAAAGAGGAAAAAGAAAAACAAAGAGAAAAAGGTTAGAGAGAGAGAGAGAGTGTGTAAAATGAAAAAAAAAAAACTTGTACCAAGAAGTGCATATGAAAAAGAAAAATCAAGAATTATAAGCAATCAATTTCTGATAACCCTTAGATGAATGGATGGATAGGTACATCTACAAACCTCTTGAAACAGGATGCTGAAGGTAACATCAATCAACTAAGTGACAAACCTTTTACTTGTATTAATTATATATGTATGTATGTATGAACTCTGGTGAGGATCCAGTATCTCAGTTCTTAGAAACAAACAGCCAGACTATCTGTATATATGTTTTGATTATAGTGGTGAAGGTTTGTGCAGAAGATCCCCAAATAACCCTCCTCAGGTTTTGAATTCAGAGTTAACCTTCTCCAGGACAGGTTTTCACCAAAAGCAAAAGTAACAGTCTGTCCTGCTATTTTCCTATAGCTGGGAGGAGAGAAAAAGTGGATTCATAACCTTTCCCAAGGGTCTTAGCATGTAAGTGAATGTCATGAACTCAACTGGAGTTTGAACTTTGCTCTTTGATTCCACAATTCAAGCCACTATCCATTACTCCTTCATACATACATACATACATACATACACACATATATATATATATATATATATATATATATATATTTCGGCTTGAGGCAACCAGATGTCTAGCAACACTGATGAGGTGTGAAACAGAGAAACAGTCTGTCTTTGGATGACAGTATATACATGCTCCTGAAAAAATTATTTCGGTTGAACTCTTCTGGGTGAAAAGTGAATTTTAAACAGTGACTATTACTGCTGCTGATGCAATATTCTTTGTTAAGATGAATCAAGTTCTCCAGTCACTGGCGTGTTTGTTTAAAAAAATAAATACGTCTAAATTCACCTTCATCCCTGCTGTACACCAATGGCTTAGAGGTAAAATCTCTGACTGATACCAAATCAGTCGAGTTTCGATTCCCGCTTGAGACAATTAAATGTCTAGCTACACTGATGAGCTGTGGATGACAATATATATATATATATATATATATATATATATATATATATATATATATATAAATTACATGAATTAGATTAGTAGAGTTACTGATATAAATGGTGAAAAACATCTTTGCAAACAAATTTATTAAAGTTACATTAACCTACAAACCACTCAATGAATATTATGATCCTTGTTTTTAATAACTTCAAGTTGTATAAGGTCTTTTTTTATTCTTCTAGTACTTTCAGCTGTACATACAGCCATCCTCAGACATGGAAATTAATTTGTTTTTTAGTAAATCCAGGTAGTAGAAATTTTGGAGCATGTAATCGCAACGCTAGGTTTGAATTTTTTTTGAAAATTTAAGAGAGTGCATTTTTTACTAATATGGTAACTTGAGAATTTTTTTGTTGTAGGCTTTTTTTTCAGTCAAAGTGGCATGAACTAAATTGTTCAATAAATAGAGTAATGTTGTAGTTATTATCCCGAAAACTTGCACATCAGATCAGTTCTTTTTTAAATCAAATATGTGATGCAGTTCAATTTATATTACATGGTTCGTAGGTCAATGTAACTTTAATAAATATAATAAATTTGTTTGCAAATATGTTTTTCGCCATTTATATCATTAACTTTACTAATCTACTTTTTGTATGAATGATTCATGTAATATAAATTGAACTGCACCACATATTTGATATATACACATACATACACTATCTCTGATAACCATAAATATAACATACCTTAAAACTATATTTTTATCATATTTTATATATATATATATATAGGAAAAACAATATATAAATTTTTGTAGAAAAAACAATTTACTAAAGTTAAAAATGCATAAAAAATTTTTAATCACTAGATCATCCACAGTAAATTACTTTCACTTTTAATTAAAGTAGAAGTATTTCATAAAAATTATGGTCAAACTCATTACAGTGAGTGACTCTTTCCCACAGATGAAACATCTTAAGCTCTTGACTACTTTATTTCCATCAAAAGTGTTCTCAAAAGCTGTATTCTTTAGTTCCAACTGTTCAGACCTTTACAGCTAAGACCAGCTGTGCAATGTAGACATGGTTGAATCATATTTATCCTAAGAAAGAAGTTCCATTTGGAGAGCTTCTTACCAATAGCTACTGCTTTGTAGAATAGACTCTTGAGAAAGGTGCTTCCCTGATCACTACAATCTTAACAACTTCAAGTCTAGAGTGAAAAGTTATCTATCCTTCATATCCTTATGATCTGCACTTCTTAACCATCCTCTCATGTCCATAAAACAATCTTGTTCAATAACACTCTACCTAGGGTGGCTTTTATTGGGTGAACTCACTCACAATATGTGGAGATAATTATCTACAAAGATTGACTATTGCGGACAGGTTATCTGATAAGACTCAGGGATGATGTTTTACTTCAGTCAGAAAACTTGTTCTAGAGAACTAAAATCCAACACAGAAGAAGAGTAGGAACACAATCTAAAACTGAAAAGTCAAATATTATTACGACCACAACTTTCATGTACAAAATAATTTTAGAATGTTCAAAGAATAAATGAAGAAAATACCTGATGTCTGCTCAGAGTTAGGGCAGTGGGTTAGACTGAGATCATTACAGAACCCACCTTTCTCCGTGTGTGTGTACTTTCCTATAATCTGTCTTTGTGCAGGGGATACACATACATACTCCCTGCACAAAGACAGATTATAGGAAAGAAAGCTGAAATAATTGGCATTTTTAGATTAAAATTCAAAATACCATTCCAATTAGTTTCTGCACATAAAAGCAAAATTATTATGAGTAAGGTTTTCTTTGTTCTTTGAACCATCTTAAACCATCACTTTGAGTGTGAAATTTATAGTCACAGTAAAAATCTGGGCCTCTTTAGCTTTGGATTGTATATGAGAGAAGGAGAAAGTCAAACAGAGTGTAAGAAAGAGAGAGAGAAAGAATAAGTGACTTATTTTCAAAGTGTAAGTAAGTGACACATTTCTTAACTGACAATTTCCCAACTTTGTCATTATGTCATAAATAACTCACCTCTGTAAGTTGTCTGTTTTGTTCCTTCAACATTTTCACACAGTTATCTTCCAACATCAAAGGATGACCGGTATTACTGATGGCAAGGTTCATGTGCAATGGAAATCCCTACAAAGAAAGAACAGAAGACATTTTAAGGTAAACTAAAGCTTCATATGTTCACATTGTTCATTCTTTTTTTGGCAAATATTTCTTTTATGCACACATTCATCAATTTTGTAACTGTTACTTTACTTATAAACACACTATGTGAGATTTTATGATGCAAGTCAATGTCTTCACAATAAAATTGTTATTAACCAATTAACATAGTATTTATAGGATAAAATACATCAAAGGAATTTCAGCTTATCATATCTTGTTTCTTATTAGAAATAATTGCCACAAATTATTTGGTGGATTGATTTTAATGTTGAATGCTGTTATTTTTTTTTCTGATAAATAATAAATAGAAATAGATCTGGTTTGCATGAGAGTCAAAATGGTAGACAGACATCTGGTATGAACAAGAGCCAAAATGGTTGAAACAGTTCAGGTATGCAGGAGAATTAAAAAAAATGTCATATGTCCAGTTTGCACAAAGGTATACATAGGTGGGCATGTAAGTAGTTACTATTTGGTGGGGTTTTACTCCTCTGCACAACAAAGATGGTAGTGATATATTCTTGATCCCAACTGAGAGGGTGATTATTAGATGTGAGATATTATTAAACTCAGGACATCAAATTGCAAATATAAACAATCTTATAGTTATTAATATTTATTCTTTTAATTTCAGGTATATAAACATTGAGATGCGTCATAAGAAAGATATTATCACAAAAGAGAATCAAACTATTTTAAAAATGTGGAGTAATAAGAACTTGATGATGAAAAATTATGAAAACATTTAAAAAAAGACTAGACAACAATCAAAAGTGAAATCATAAAACATTGGCAAGAACAAGAAAAAAATAGCATTAAGAATATCAAAGTATGAGATTTAAGAAAAACTTAAAGGTTCACAAACAAAAAAATTAGATTGACCAACAAGAAAATATTAGAAGCTGTTGTTGTGAATGTCAACAGAGAGAAGAGAAGCTAAATGTTAAGAACATTAGTTAAAGACGAGAAAGCAGCCAAAGTAGTACTTTTGTAAGTAAGCAACACAAAGAGAAACATACGAGTTGAGCAATGAAGTACATGAAAAATGATTTCTCAACAGTAATTTTTAGCGATAAATACAGAAGTACATTGACTAGAATTGAAGAAGTAAGCAGTCAACAACATGAGTTTGAGGACAAAAGAAGAAAACAGTCAACATCATGGCTTTAAAGACAATATAAGGAAACAGTCAACCTCATGGCTTTGAAGAAAATAGAAGGAAACAATCAACCTCATGGCTTTAAGAACAATAAGGAAACAGTTAACTGTATGGCTTTAAATACAATAGAAGGAAACAGCCCCACATGTCTTCAATGACAATAGAAGGAAGGCAACAGGTGAAGTATTGCTATTGGGATAGCAAGAAAATTAAAGATCTCTTAATTGTTGATGATGGAATGAAGATAAATGCAGACAATCATTGTAATTTCTTGGCCAAGACGTTTTTTGAGTGTCACAAATTATAACAACATAGCTTTTTGCTTTGAATATTGCTACCACATCTGGTTTACTGCTTGTGGTATATATCTATATGTTCTTGACAAAATCCAAAAAAAAATCATTGACCAATATTGGTCCTGATCTGGCACGTTGGCATTAGTCATTTTCTCACCATCATAGAGGAATTTACTCTATTACCTGTAATAATTGCCACAATGATTACACAGGAGAAACCTCAAGTAATTTAAAAGAAGATGATATGAACATGAAAGGATCTTTTACAAAATGTCACATTAAATGCATTAGTTATTCACTGAATTGATCTTGGCTATAATTTTGATTTAAAAATGCCTATCTAATTAAAAGAGAAAGCAATTTACTTAGATGAAAATGTATAGAAAGTCCTTTAATTGATAGATCATTCACAATAAATTTATGTGCAGTGTCTTACAACAGTTCACCTTTCTTGGCTGATCTTCTATTATCACAATGTTGGATATTTGTTAATAAAAGTGATGGAAACATGAATAAAAAGAAAAAGAAACTAAATTAACTAGATGATATACCCAAAACATATACTTAAAAAAAAATTAAATTTTAAATTTTAAACATCCAATTTCTCCTTCATGTGCACATGTACTCAAATCAATATAAACATCCTCAAGGATAACTTTTTGTACTTTGTCAGCTATTCCCTGACCCAAAAGAATTAGAGCAAATAACTGAAGCCAAATCACTTTCAACAACAGTATTAACCAAAATAGACATCACATTGAACTTGAAGAGAAAATAATGACATAATCAAAATGTTGATGTTCTGCATGACTTCAAACACTGGAAGGAAACACTGATCAATACTGGAAAGAGCAATAATTTTTTACTGGACTTCAGAAATCTATTTTCCTAAAAAATTGTTTTAATATAAAGGTTTTAGAAATTATAACCATATGTAGCAATGGCTGTTTGGTGAAAGAGTGCTGAATGTTTCCTTATATGGAAATAGCTAATATTACATTACCATTAGGTATGCGCAAATTTTTCTAGTGTTAATTTATTTTTTCTAATTTTTTATGAAAAAAAATGGTTTTCTTCTGTGTATCTTGTTTCTTGTTGTTATAAAATAAAATAGACATATCTCGGCTGATTTGCAGGCAAATAAACTAACATACTCAAGAGCGAGAGCTGGATGTGAATGGGACATGGCCCCATCACAAAATGAACATTATCGTCATTTACGCATAGGCCCGATGCACGAGTTCCGGTTGAAAAATAAAATAATATTTTAAAGTGTTTCTATTTTTCGACCGATAAAAATGCTTCCCTCCTAATTATACTTGCGTTGTTTTTCGAGCCTGTTAAGCCATAAAAACGCCATAAAAGGGGTCACACGGGGAAGTACAAGGGCAGTCAACAAGAGGCCAGGGAAGAGACCTGTCACAGTCAGTCAGCAGCTGTCAGCAGGAGGAGAGCCACACCAACCGGTGAGAACTACTATGAGAGATCAACCCAGATCAGCAGTTGGCTTATGAACTATACCACAAGGTAGCTGTCCCAAACCCACACGTTCCTATTGAAATAAATCACGTAAATCTATTTCTGCTGTTGTTGTATTTCTTTCTTGCAACCATAGGCTTGTCTATAACATTGGCTCGAACTGTTGGGAACTTTTGCACTCACACATGACATATGCATATGACAAGTAACAGTTTTAAGAAGAGTTTGGAGCAATATTTAAATCTAGAACCTGGTAAAGTTTAACATACATACCAACAAAAAAATGGTGTGTCAAAAGGACAGTTTTTCTTTTGACACCACATGGATACCCTCAGTTATCTGAAAGAATATTTGTTATTAAACTGAAAGGAAAGCCTGCTGTGTATGCACTGACAGAGTACAGAAGAAGAAATAGAAAAGTTCTTTGCTATACAACACCAAGGTTTAATGGAAATCACAAGAAATTATAATTGTCTTGGGAGACCTAAATACCAAAGTAGGCAACAAGAGGGAATGTGAAATAGTTGGCAAATTCAGTTTAGGGACATGTAATGAAGCAGAGAAAAATGGGTACAATAGCATTTAACGAATGACCAGGTATGAGCCAAGACCTGGTTTCAAGGACACTCAAGACAAATATGGACATGAAGAAGCCCAGAAGGAAAAACAAAAAACCAAATCAACTGCATGACTATCAACAAGAGATTCAGGAATGCAGTTGTACACTGTAAAACCTATCCAAGTGCTGACTGTGGAAATGATCACCTGTTATATGTAAACTTAAAGTGAAACTATGGAAATTGAAAAGGCCTAATGCAGCAGCCAAATTGCAATATGACAGACTCTTGGATAAAGTGAATCTGAAGAAGAAATATATAGACAGTATGAAAAGCAGATATGAGGGACAAAATGAAAATGGAAACTTGAAGTGAGATACACTAAGGGAAGCATTAATGATATCAGCAAACAAGATGCTCCCAAATGAAATAGACAAATAAAAAAAATGAATTGATGACAGATGAAATTCTCAACATTATGAAAATGGGACAAAAATAATGCCAAGACACAGGACAGAATATAGAACATTACACAAAAAAATAAGGAACAAATGCAGGCAGGCTAAAGAGGAATGGCTCAACTAAAAATGTGCAGAAAGAATGAGTATCACAGATAAATCAGTTACGCATAAAAAATAAGAGAACTAACAGGACAAAAAACATGCTCACCAACAGGATGCATAAAATCCAAGGATGGAATGATGATATTTGAGAAAGAAAAAATACTTCAGAGATGGAACAAATATATTGGAGAACTCTTCTACAAGGAAAGAAAACAACTGGCAATACACAGAAATATTGACAGACCAGAAATATTAAAAACTAAAGTTGAATCTGCACTGGCCAAATTGAACAGAAACAAAGTGGCAGGGCCAGATGAAATTGAAATAGAGATGCTGGCAGCTTTAGATGATTTTAGCATAGACAACATTATAGAGATGATAAAAATGGCGATATACCAGATGACATAAGTCGATCTGTTTTCATAGCATTTTTCATAGAACAATCAGGTGCATATGAATGTGAACTCCACCAAACAACCAGCCTTATGAGCCTTATAACAAAACTCATCATCTGAATAGTGATGAATAGAGCATGCAGTAGAATTAGACTGGAGATAGGAGAAGAACAGTGCAGGTTTATCAAAGATACTGGAACAAGTCACAAAATATTTATGCTCAGGTTATCAGAACAAGTAATACAAATGCAGAACATGTACCTGTGTTTTATAGATTATACAAAGGCATTTGATAAAGTACACCACAAAGGTCAGTTAGAACTGCTCAGCAACTGTGACGTAGGGAAGGATATTAGAATAATCAAGAACCTATACTGGCAGCAAACTGCATACATACAAATAGAAAATGATTTCAGCAGATATACAAAAATAGAAAGGGGTGTTAGACAATGATGTGTCATCAAGTCAGACTTATTCAATCTATACAGCGAGGCAATTCTGAGAGAATTAGAAGTCCTACACAGGATTCATTACTGGTAGCCACAATCTTAACAACATAAGATATGCAGATGACACAGTATTGATAGCAGACATGGAAAGAAAACTACAAAAGCTTCTACAGTAGGTAGTGAAGGAAAGCAAGAAGAAAGGACTAAACATAAACTACAAGAAAGAATGCATAATTATCAGCAAAAGGGTGAGCCCAAAATGCAAATTACAAATATGGGATACCAAAATCAAACAAGTACAAAAACTTAGATATCTAGGAAATGTTCTAACAGATGACAAAGTGTGACACTGAAATCTGAAGAGACATTGGAATAACCAAATAGTTTTAAGAGACAGAAAAACTTTGGTAGAATCAAAGGAAAGAGTACTGAACTGTTACATGATATCTGTCCTCCTATATGACAATGAATTCGGGACAATCTCCTGAAAGATGAATAAGAGACTTGAAGCAACAAAAATATGGTTCTACAGAAGGATACTGAGGATAACATGGACTGAACATGAGGTTTCAGAGAAAAAGGAAACTTATACTTAACATCAGGAAGAGTCAGTTAAAATTTCTGGAGCACATAATGAAGAGAGAGAGCTTGGAAAATCTGATACTCACAGGACAGATTGAGGGCAAGAGGGGCAGAGAAAACAACGCATAACATACTTAGTGAGTGTGAGTAAATTAATAGCGGATCAGAGCTTAGGAGAAATAACAAAAGGACAAAATTTATTAAGCACTACAAAGGACAGGAAGTTGTGGAGAGCCATGATTGCCCATGTCCTGAAGGAATACGGCATGTAAAGAAGAAGATTACCATATACTCCCTCGGGAAGTTTTGTTTTAAAAACTAATTTTTAGAATTTTAATAAAACCCAAATATATAATACTGGATTTATGCCTTCTCAAGAATTGACAACAAACCTATTAAACACTATTCTTGTAAATAAACAGTTTAATAAATAGTTTTTAACATTTTTGTTGTTAGTTCTCAAGAAAAATATGTATAAATCCAGTTTCATATGTTTGTGTTTTATTAAAATTCTAAAAATATATGTATAAGACAATAAAAATGGCCAAGTGGGTATATTGGTAATAGTGGTGTCAGGAGGAAAACCATCCTTTTGGTATACTATTTACACTTTACCAAAAATCTTTTGGAAATTTCTTTATGAAATTTAATCCAAGAATGTTAACATGCAAAGAAAAAAAAGGAGAGAAAAATTAAACTTTACCCTCTCGGAACTTTCAATCAGTGTTTTCAGTTGTTGATTGACTTCACCAATTCTAGTTTTCTGAAAATTCATTCTCTCTTGACTTGCTTCTAATGAAGAATCCTGGAAAAATTTTCAAATTAAAAAAAAATAATTCATAATTGAATTTTCCATTAAATGGGAAGTTGCAAATTCAGATCAGTTAATTTTTGTCTGAATTACTAGAATTAGGAATTATCATTATAATACACAAATTTATTCAAACAGATGTTCCCCTCTTCATTGTTATTGTCATAATATTTTGACTATCATACCCTACGGACTTCTTAAGATTCCTGTCATATTTAAAATTCAAGGTATTTTGAACTGAGCCCTTTATTCAATATATTGAAATAGACTGTTCTCTTTCTGCTGAACATACTACAGAATTATTTTTGTCTTGACACCTTGTCCCAATATAGTTCTCATTTTGGTCAATATATTTATTGGCTACTGTACCCAATATCTACTCATTTGGGGAATCTAAATACCAAACATTTATTCAATCTGTGGGCTAGAGTGTTTCATTTCCGTTACCCATCCTACAGAATATCTCTTATTAAATATTTTTGTCCTGACACTTTTGCCTGTCCTAATGTTGTTCTCATTTTGGTCATCATCATCAAAATATCTTGGCTTGCCTATAGTCTAATCTCCTTCAGATTTGCTAACATTCTTGGAATTTCAAACCAAACACTTTATTCAATCCACAAAAATGAAATATTCTCATTCCAATGTCTATGCTAAAGTTAAAGGATAATCTCAAATTAGTTAAATCTTTTTAATTCATTTGCTGCTATTAGTTCCCAACAAATCATTTCACACCAGGCAAGGCAATAATGCCACTAAGATGCAAGGAGTTACTGAAAGTGGAAGAGAATGAGAAGAGACTGCAAACTGCACCCTTCTCACCAAGCCTATATCCACTAGGCTATCAGGAAGTGGAATTTGGGATTTTTAATCTTAATTTTTGTTCTTTTTAATCAAAGACTCAAGAAGACACTAGATGCATTCAAAGTTATCATTCTTTTAATCTGCTTTGTCTTTAATAATACACTTTATGAGATGTGCAAAAGTTACCAACATCTTTACAAAATTGAAACCGAATACACAGTAGAAAAGTTTCTTTTACTTTTTTAAAAATATGGAACCAACTTTTGCACTCATCTCAGACTTTCATTCGCATCCCCAACATACACACACTAAGATAAAAAGTATTATCCAAGAGTTTTATGAAGATTCACATCAAAACTAAAGTGAATTTAAACAATGACTAAATAAGTTTAATTACTCATTAATAAATTAAACGCTTATAAACTGTAGTTTAAATAAGTCTGTATTGCTATGATGTCACTTGTACAAATTAAGATACCATTGGTTCAATTCACCATTCTTGCTTTCTGAACACGTCACAACATATATCCATCTTTTCTTCTGCCGTTTTCACTGCTTCAGCCCTCTTTTATCAGGCCAACACTGCGGTCAACCAACCAATCAGCGTTCTTCACTTTTATTCTCAGTTACCCAGGCAAATAGCCTCCTCCAATTCGACCAATCAGCACATGACTTGCTATTGGTGGAAGCATGCCAAACTGTACAAAAACCCTTGTTACCGCACATACTGTTAGACGGGAGGGTAATGCCATTTTCACGGGGCAAACTTGCCGATGTCATATACTGCCCATTAAGGTAAGACCCTTATTTTCCTATGCACCAGATGCAAGCCACTCTGGCTCGTTTGCTTCTACGGGGCTGTTCACCACATAAACAAAGCCTTATAAAACATTTATTAATAAACTGAACACTAATACTTCACACTAAAGATATTTTGTAACATGGAACTGTTACATATTGACCAGCACAGGAATTGAACTCACAACTACCAACTGATAGAAACTGATGTTTTGTTGTTGTATTGGCCTATCTCTCCTGTTCTTTGTAATGAGTTCTGCCATGGAGCTCAATACAAGCCCATGATAGCAGTAGTAGTAGTATTATGATGATGAAGAAAAAAAAAAAAACAACAACAATGTATTAGCTTGTGGTTATGAGTTCAACTCCTGTGTTGGGCAATACATAAGTATATAAAACAATAAGAATGTGATTAAGCATATGGTTTGAAATGGGGCTTGGCCACCAGAGTGATTGTTCTGTAGTGGGCCCTACTACTTTATCCTTCATGGCTGTCTTGAGGCCAGTACACTAAACTTGCACTGTCTCTTACTGAAAATAAAATCAACTGTCTTTCCATCAGGAGAAAAGATTTTCTTTTGTAGTTTGGTTTGATTTAGTTTGTTTTACCAGCATATCAATCCTTGTGAGTCATGTAATGCTTTTTTGTAGTATAAAATAGCACAGCACATATGGTCTCCATTGGTTACTTTTATTGTCCCCAGTAAGGAAATTTTGCCAACTACTTTTTAGTTATGAAGAGGGACAAGGGTGTGAGAGAGATTTCCCAGTTCTAGCAGTTGCAGAACTGTATGAAAAAGAATTTTCTCCTTCATAAATGTTGGAGAAAGAAACTTTTTTTACCAGTAAATCTTGCCTTCTCATTACTTGTTGATTCATTAATTCATGGGCCAATGAAAGACACCTAAGCCCACGACAATTTGAACTCTATTAAGAACTTCAAAAAATCAATTTAAAATATTATAAACCCTTTTTTATTGTTAAATTTTATTTTCTCTTTTCAATTTCCCTTGCTAATATTTCCATACCATCACCCAAAATAACAATGGATGCTCACATGATCTAAATATAAACTGTCATTATAGCATTTTATCATTGAGGAGCAAAATAAAAGAAAAAAACATTAACAATATAAAAAGAAGGAATATTTATTTCTGTTCTTAATGTAAACAGCTTTGGGTTGACATAGCAGTTGAAGGGTACAAACAAAACTTTTGAGAAAAGTAACAAAAGTAAAGAAAGTAGACAAAGGGCTTACATTAAACGATGACCAGGCAGCGAGTTTCTGCTTATCATTAATAGATGATAACTGTTTCTGGTACCAGAGTCTGGCAGATTCTACAACCTCCATTCCTTGTTCCAACATTTCTTTCTCTTCTTCCAGCTGACGCATCCTTTTAATCTACAAAGAAAACAAAATATAAAGAAGCAAAGATAAAAGGCAGTCAAAGGTTGTAGGGAAAAGGTCAGCGAAGAAAAAAAATAAGGTGTGTGAGGAAGAAATTAAATCAGTAATTCTGCTTGTGGGTAGGAAAAATGAGCAAAACAAAGTAATTTAAAATAAGTAATAGATTTTAATAAAATATTTTAATTTATTTAATATAACTTAATGTTGACTGATTTGTTTTTTATAGCTTATCAACCCTTTTGAAGGTTATTTAAAGCCAGAAAATATTTTAGCTTGTAAGAATTCTTTTGGAGATAATAACGATTTACTGATACAAGTCCTACAATTTAACTCATAGCTAGGGTGAAGAAGTGGATTCATATCTTTCCTAAGGGTATTTGTGCCTTAAGTAAATATAACAATCCCAACAGGAATTGAAACTCAGCTCTCAGATTTCCACTTGCCAGTTGTTATCCATTCCAGCAGCCACACATCCAAGCTTACAGTTCCTGATATCCCTAAGTGGTCATCTATTTAGACACTGACCGAGTTCAATGTTGCTCAACTTCAGTGATGATATAAGAACCAGTATTTCAATGTATTTATGCGTTTATAAGTGAATATAACGAATCTGACTGGAATTGGAACTCAGTTCTCTGATTTTCACTTACCAGCTGTTATCCATTACACCAGCCACACATCCATGTTCACAACACCTGGTATTCCCAAGTGGTCACCCATCTAGGCACTGACTGAGTTTAATGTGGCTTAACATCAGTGATTATACATGAAACAATGTTTCAATGTGATACAGCTCTAAGCTGACACCTTAAGTGTAGCCAAATTTTGTTTACAGCAATAAAATAAGCAATATTTTTTCAGAAACTCCTTAATGAAAACATTCATTAATTTAATTACTATAAATTAGGTATAACAGTTATCATCAATATTTAGTTTAAAATACAAGCAAGGATATTTGGCATGATGCATACCAAATGCCTTTCCTTTCTTCTTCTGTGTTATGAAGCTGTTTCTTTGTTTGAGCAATGTGCAAATGTTGTAAAATGATTTCAGCAAAGGTGTCATATTTAAAACAATTTTAATAATCCTTTATTCCATATATGGCATGTTGGTATAATTTATAATATTTGTGTGATTTTCAAAATATGCTATTAAAAATGTTTTTACTTTCTATTACTCTCAAACTATGATCTAATTGCTAAAGTGGTTGCCACATTAAGAGTAGACAATGGCTTTATGTGAATAAGCAAAATATTAAAAAAAACCATCCAGAAAACAATCACATATTTGGAAAGATCACAAAAAACCAGAGTGAAAATGAATAACAAAACAAAATTATTGTAAACAATTTGATTTTTAAAGCTCAATATACAGATTAGTTATTTCCATTAAACAAGAACCACTAAGTTAGGCCAGATATAAGACACATGCTGATAGACATAATAAAATATTTTTCATGTTACTGTTTTAATTAACTTCTAGATTTTCAAGCAGATACAAATTTTGAGTTTTATGTTACTTATTTCATGACTATAAATTATATATAACTTTTTTTTTATTAAAATATATTAAATAAAATATTACTTATTAGAAATTTTACTTCATTTCTTTTATGACATTTTAATTATGACTTTTTCTCATTTTAAAAGCATGTAGTAAAAAAAAGATAATTATTTATAAAAAAGATAAAGATTTAAAAAAAGATTTAAATTTTTTATTAAAATAAAAAAGGAAAATTACAATGAAATGCATCATGTATAAATAAGAGCTCAGCTGTCACATTCACTTTTTAAAACATGACAATTTCTAAAAAGACATTTTTTTAGAAGAATTTAGCAGAGGAGTTCAATGTTGTCGAGGTTTTGAGAGAAAACATTTTCATTTTTCTGTATTTTATATAACATTTTGTTCATTTAGCTTAGTAAGTAGAAATTTTTTTTTTCAACATCAACTTTATTATTTACATCGTTTGGACTACTGTCCTCATCTTTATTGCCATATTCACAGTGTTTCAACTGTGTATACTCAGACCTTCTTCAGATGGTATACATTGAAATTTCAAACTGAACCGCTTATTTCATCCATGTGGGTAGATTGTTCTAATTCCATGTGCCATGCCTTTTTTGAATATTTCAGTTTCAGTTAATTCCCTTTAGTGACTCATCTCAGAAATATAGACAGATATCAACTTTATTGATTAATATATTTAACATCATCTTTCAAGCATTTTACTAAGTTCATTTTTTTTTTAAATTTCTGAAGAAAAAGCTGCTCTAAGTGAATTTTCTCAAAAAAATTTTCAATAATGGAATTCTATAGAGAGGTGAATAAATATTAATCTGAAGACGAAATATTTGGTAAATACATTGAATTAAAACAGGATCATGTGAATTAATGCTGCCCAATAAGACCCCATAACCATAAAAAGAGAAGAAACAGAAGACAGTGAGAGTTTTGTGTATCTGTTTGTGACTATTTGAAAACAAGGTACTGGCATAGAAGACATTAAAAGGCTAGAGACTGTTAAAGGCTAGGACAGCTTTTGATCGGTTGAAGGTGTGGAATGCAACCAAGTTAAACAGAAACATTAAAATCAGGTTTTATAAGACCTTCAACATCCACATTCTATTCTATGCTCGTGAAACTTGGAAAATGAATCAGGGAGATGACAAGCTTATTGTCCTGTTTCATAGCAACAGATTAAGAAAGATCTTCAAGATTAAATGGCAAAACCATATTAAAATGGTGGAACTGTTCCAGCATTTCACCATATAACTCCTTAGTGTTGAGGTAGGGCAAAGAAGATGGAGTTTTATTGACCACACTTTAAAACAAGACTGCAACATGGTACTGAACTGGGATTGCAAAAATAAAAGGAAAGATTGAGAACGGCATGAAAAACTAATGAGAAGAAGAGGGAAGTAACTGATTGGCAATCCTGGGATGAGGTATGAATAACAGCTACAGACAGGGAGATGTTCTGTGGAGGCCTCACATGCCAGGAGGCACCAGATAGAAACATGATTGTTTGAAAACATCCCAGCCAAACCAAAGAAATAGGCAGTCGAGCATTATCCTAATGAAATATTATTATCTTAGAGCCATATCATGCTGAAACACTAGTTAAGCTATGTTGAGCCTGGTCAGTACCTAAATGGGTGACCACTTTGGTATACTAGGTACTGTAAAATTAGATGTGTGGGTGGTGTAATTGATAACAGCTGGAAGATAGCTGAGTTCCAATTTTAGTCGGCCTCATTATATTCACTTACATGCAAATACTTTTGAATTTTTGAAAAGTACGAATCCATCTGTTCTCCCCCATCTATGGGTTAATTAGTAATACTTGTATAACTAAATCATTATTTCAAAAGAAATTGTGATGTGTTTGGCAGAGGAGGGGTGTATTCAACATTTGATAATTTTGCGGCAATACGCTCTTAAAGGTTTTCAGGCATTTTGATCACCGTTTCTTTTCATGGTTAGTTGTAAGGAATTGTAAATGTAGGACTACCTTACAGTTACGTAAAATAATAATAATAATATCAAATTTTATGGAAATGTTGTTGACAATTATGTATTTAGTTACATAACAAATAAATAAAAATAATATAAATTTGGATGCTATATTTGATTTGTTGTTAGGTATTTTTCATTTCCTCTTTTGTTATTGGCAACATTTTAGAATACTTTGGTTGCAATGCTAAGTTGTCGAACAAACTGAAGCTATTTCATTTACGCTTTGTTACCTCTATTTTCCATTGTTGTTTTTAGATCACTTTCTTTCAGTTATTTTGATGGGCAATAGCGAATTTTTCAAATTTAGAATGATTTTATTCCCTTTCAAAAATAAAGCCTGTAAAAAGGAATATTTTAAATTATTATATGGCAATAAATAAAATGCTATGACAAAAGAACTTAATGATTTCACTATAATTATATAACAATGAACGTAATGATATTCCGCAGACAAATCTATGGTTTACGTTACCTCATCTCATTGCATGGTTACAAACTATAAACCTAAATTGAGCTTGAAATATTGTGTAATCAGCTCTGTTTTGTAAAATACTTGTATATGATATAATGAATAATTTGCAGTGAAAAAACAATTTTTGATTTTTTGTTGATTATGCCCCCTCCTCCACCACACGCATCAAATAACCTGCAAAAGGTTGATAAACCATAAAAAACAGATCAATCAATCATGCTGTTTATACTAGAGAATGGATAAGGGAACATTTTTACCTCTAATTTTTAATCCGAGCGGACAAATATTGTAGGTTAGGCATCATAGGAATAGCAAAAAATATATTACTGCTAAATGGTAATATTGGAATACAACAATGATCAAAAAAGAAGACTACACATTTTAAAAATAAAACAATATTTTTCAATGTTACTGGAGATTGCATATGTGGAATGAGTAGCTATAGTTAAATGCAAAGTAATTAACATAACTATCCAACAGAGTTGAAAGTGTTTTGCAGTCATTCGATATAAAGATTGAAACTGACATTATATATCTCGTAATTATTATTATTATTAGCTCTATTTTATTGCAATATAAAGCATAAAATAATTGCAATTGCAAATTATTTGACATGAATTAAAAAAAGAAAAACATCTTCTACCACCTCTTACATTTAGTTGTCCTAAAAGCATTCTCCTTCCTAAACCTGTCAGGAGAAATTGTGTTAACACCTAAGCCTGTTCATCAACTGAAGTTAAGAATTGAAAATACAGTCTAAACTTTCTTTTGTTAGGCTTATGTTATTTTATGGCTTCCTTACACGACACATTTTCATGTACATCCTTGTTGTTGTTGTAAATTGTTAAATATAAGTTTCAGTAAGTCATTTTTAATTGTAAGTGTTTTGCAAGTGTAATCTACAATCCATGGTAAGCTTTACTGTATATACTACTGTATAAACCAACTTTATAGATAAAGCATGACACCCTGTAATTTTGGGGCATGAATTTTAATCCCTCCC